GCTAAACTGTATTTGTATGTCAGTTAACTGTTGTTTTACAGTAGCGAGTGAAAATTGAAACATTTCATACACAATATCCTGCCTTCATGCGACTTTGCTGACCTACCTTGGTTCTCTCGCCACAAATGTATAGTCTATGTAGGTTTCCTTAACCCAGAATAATCTGGAATTAATGAAGAATGTTTAGGCTGTGGTCTCATTTTGATCTTAACCACAAGTGTGATGTTATACAAGCCTGCGTACAAGAGAAACTGTCAAACAATGTTTTGAAAAGCAGCTATCATCTAAATTTGGTGAAACCACGTGCTATTCTGAACCATCTGTACTTTCCCAAACTCTGCGGTTACACTCTGTACCCTGGTGGTCATCCGGACACATGAAACACATTAGTGCTCTGATCTTTGTTGGCACCATCTGCTCCAAACCCACAGCTGCAATGGCAAAATGAGGTCGTGATTCAATATCATAAAAAAAAAAGCAAACAAGGTCTCATTGTGCGGCCGGCACATTGGTCCGTGCAAACTGCAGTTGAATGCCAATTGGGAACAGAATCAGTGATTGGGCACCCTGCTGCCTTTTGAGAACGCACGGGCATCACAAAGAGCATTTGTGTGTGAGGGATTGGCATCGGTAAACGCTCCCTTTCCCCTCCGCTTGCATGCGACGGTCTGTGAGCAGCTGAACACCTGTGGAGCAGAATGGTATAATAACAACTTTGTTTCCCCAGGAAATGATGCGTTTCCTGACTCGGGCAACACTAGGCTAAGATTAGAGCCGGAGACATGCAACTAGGGAGGACAAACATTTACTATTCCACTGATGCATTTTTAGTTTTCACCTCTTTTAAAGCAAATATACTGAAAGGAAGAAGATATTCTAAGATCAGCTACCTCTGTGACACAAAACAGATCCATGTCACCAAACGTTTCTTTATTTGGCACGAGACTGGGATTTAGCAGACCATAATTGTAAAAATACGTTATTCATATACACCTCTAGTAAAAAACACTATTGAAAACATATCTAAAAATATACAGTGAAACATAACAGCAGAATAAAAACACTTTCGCAGGGTTTGCAGGAGGGGGTGAAAGGGGTATTTTACAAGGTAACGGAGGAATGCTAACACATAACAGTCATAGTTTCCTCTGCCCTCAGTCCTCTGGTATGGCCCACACATTTGGTACCAAGATGTGCCAACACTTCAGAAGAGACAGTTCATGCACTTCACAGCCTTGCTGCCGTAGTCCACGCACTCCGGTCCGATGCACTGGCAGCAGGCGTTGTGAAACCAGCGGTACTTGGATCCTCCCATTGACTCACAGTATAGTTTACACTGACGGATAGACACGCAGTCGTCAAAGTAGACCACCGTGCACATGTTTTCTGAAATAAAACATACAGGGAAAGAAAAAAACACATGAGACACAAATCCAGTAAAGTTTTAGTTTACAATAATTACCTTTAACCCTAAATGTTGCTACTTTTACTTCAGGGGGAAATTAATTTGCTGTGAATAAGTATGACCATATGTGCGGGTGAGTTTAATGAGTTAACTTCTCTGCTCGGTGGGAAAAATAAAGAGTGTGTCTTCAGGAGGCAGACAGCCAAAACACCCACAAATGAAAATAAAGAAAATGGCAGCGGAACAACACTTTTAACCCAGTTACAAATCCCTGAACTTGAGGTCTTCTTGGCAGCCATGTCCCCTCTGAAATGATGAGAACCTGATCCACCCTAAACTGTTCTCAGCTCAAGACTTTGTGCAGTGCTTCAGCTCTGAGCAAGGCCTGAGTTTATTACCACAGGTCTCAGTGAGTGTGCAGAATGCAAATGGAGAATTTGACTGGACCTGACAGGACCAGAGAACTATTTAATAATAAAGAATGTGAGCAGAGCACGCTATTCCTGATGTATAACTTATTCAGAAACGGTAAGAGTGTGAGGGGCTCTGAACAAAATCATTTTAACAAAATCATAATTCTTTGATACAGATCCTCTGAGACGAGAATTATAATGCAAATATTATCACGTTCTCCTATAATCGTAATTGCAATATCAGTCAAACTAATTGTTATTATTTACTTTTTTCCAAATTGTGCAGCCACACAGCAAATCGCTAAAAATGTCTGTACTATTATTATTCAGGTCAATCGAACGTAATGGATGGTTTCTCTCCAATAGGGCTGCAACTAGCAATCATTGTGAATCATTTTAGTTGGTAATTACATGTAGATTAGTGTTTGCCTGTTAGAAAGCCAACCACAATTTAACAAGCCCAAGTGAGCAACAGTCTAGAACTTCATTTGAGCTTTTTTTCCCATCAAAACTGATCCACTTAATCAAAGGGTCTCTCAGAAAGGTATGACATTTTCGTAGCAGCCAATAGGGCTTGAGTTCATGTAAGGAACAAATACAAGTAGATGATGATAACAAAAAAGTAATAATTATATAGCAGTATGGCAACTTTCAGTGAAAAATGTATATATATATTATCATTGAAAAATAAATTCATTAAACACATTGTCATTACAGTCAGTGCAGCGCTTGAGTAAACACTTCCCACTGCAGGTACTATTTTAGGGCCTTTAAATTGACCAAGCTATCTTTGGACTTTACAGTGAAAAAACTGAATCTCAAACTTCCAATAAAGATGGATGTTCAGTTTATCGGTTAATTTGGACAAAATAAGGATTTTTCAGAGGTCTTGTCTAGGCCAATAGGGTTGAGGTTATGTAAGGAACAAATACAAGTAGATCAAGATAACAAAAAAATAGATATTTATATAGGAGTATGGCAACTTTCAGTGATAAACGAATATATATTTTATCATTGGAAAAATAAATGTATTAAAACATTTGAAATGTCCATTTGAAATGCACTGCGCTCAAAGTTGTCACAGTAAATACAACGCTTGAGTAAATACTTCACACAGAAGGTCAAGCATCTATTTTAGATCCTTCAAATTGACTACATCTTTGGACTTTACACAGAAAAAACTGAATCTCAATCTTCCAATAAAGATGGATGTTGGTGAAATAGTCCTTCAGAGGACCCTGTTACGGTCCTTTTGTACAGTCTTAAACCTTTCCTTAGAATATTTTATGAATTGTAAGGTGTCCTTGGGTGCTTTGAAAGGCGCCTCTAAATAGAATGAATTATTATTATTACCTTGAGAGTCGTAGCTGGCGTGGATGCTGTTGGCGGGAACAGAGACGTTCTGGTGCGGGTCGAGCGACTCGAGGAAGGAGACCATGTTCTCGTGATGGGAGAGCTCCTCGGCCACGGGGAAGGAGACCACCATCATGTTGATCGGAGCCTCTCCTTCGGTGAGGGCGCGGAACAGCGAGGGGATCGGGCGGTGCAGCTCCTCCACCGTGCTCTTCGACGTGGCCGGGGTGTCGCTGTAGTTCTTCGGGTTACACATCCCTGACAGGAGGAGATGGAGGGGGAGAATTAAAGATAGGTTCAAAGACATATCAAAATAAATTCCTGTCTCTATTGAGCCATGCAAAAAGTTGAGTTTGCACAGGTTTTGGATGTACAGTATTTGAGTTGTCTCGAAAACAAAAATGGAAAAGCAAAAGAAATGGGGAGAATTATAAGGAAAAAAGCATTTCAATTAAATCAATTATATTAGGTACAAAACAATAAAAAAATAGGTAGGAGTGAGAAATTAATATGCAATTAAAATGAATGCTTATAATTATTATTGTATTCTCTATTTGTATTTATATTTCAATTTACTGTATGTCAACATTTTTCTTTACTTATTTATTCTTTTATTTTTTGCCCTTTATTTTACCACATATATTTTCTTATTCATTAACAGATTTTTTATATTTTTGGCACTGCTGTGACTCCATAATATTGCGTCATGATAAAAGTATTATCAAGATATTTTTAAACAATTTACAGTCGATTTGGGTCCTCTGCAATTTCGCCTATATCCAAGATTTTATAAATACAGAGGTCATGAGTTAAAGTTCTTCCACGGCAGAAACACAACCTAAGACAAAGACCCCTACCAAACTCTTAGATTTTAGCTTAGAGGTGGAGATCTTAAAATGTGGGTGAATAAATCCCCAACTATGTTAAAGTCTAAATACAGCTAGAGGTTGTATTTGTATCTTGTAAATTGACTGAACTGACCCTTGTATCACATTGACGACAGCTAAATGGTTTCACACATGATTTCAACTCACAGAGGCAGGTTTTGTAAAAACCACACAGCTGTCATGAATATCTCGTCTCAATTAAGATCCTTTTAACACTTCATTTAATTTAAAAAATACAGTAGTAGCCCCACATCCTCTGATAGGATCTTTGTACACCTTCAAATGAGTCAAAGTGAATTACGACTAATGGGTAAATCATTTAATGGGGAACGGAGTTTGACAGAGGAATTGGATTACTAACGAATGCTAAAAGCAAAGCCAGAACAGCTGTTTTAGATAAAGAGTACACATGGGTCCTCCCTCCTCCTCCTCCCTTCCTCTAAAATACCCCCCCTCTCTACTCCTGCTCTAACCACTCGCAGATACACACTTCAAAGAATCCTGCTTTTGGCACAGATAACATGTTTAGAGTGGAAACTTATTTAAAGTGGTCATAAGGCTAGCGTAGTAACAGAAAACAAAAACAGAAAATCTATAAATGAGATATATTCTAGCCCAGAGCTACAGGCTGTCCTCCCGAGTGTTTTAAAAGGCTGTTCAGCTCCACCTCGGTAACATCTGTGAAGCAGCAGCCAGTTCCCTTCGCTCAGTGTCAGATCGTTGCACTTGTGTTCCACATGAAAGAGTTTTAATAAAGCCTCCGTGTCAGCACGTACAGTAATATCTGTCCGTCAAAGCTGATCTGAGAGATTTCTGGTGTAAAGGGGCGAGGTCGATGAGGGAGCCAACGGGACAGGACGCTATGATAATGTTTTTGGTTTGAAAGTCAATTAAATGGCTACATAGAGAAACTAGACAACGTGATGACACAATGAGAAAGAGATGCAGAAATGACCACAGACACACAAAACAAGACTCAATATAACCAGGACTATGAAGTGAAGCAAAACAATTACAGATGAATGTTACAACACAAGATAAATGACCACACAGACACATGGAACAACACAAAAACAGATGCAAGAAAACCACAGAGAGACTAGATGACATACTAAGCTAAACATAAATTACACTAAATGACTATCGAGATGTAGAACAACCAGAAAGAGAAGCAATAAAGAGCAGAAAGTCTCTCCAATAGACGTAAAATGGCACGCAAAAGGATGCCGAGTGAACCCAAGAAACACAACAAGGCAAATAGTTCATAAAACGGGCACACAGGGATGCCGAATGAGCAATTAAAAATTGGAAATACCACAAATAGAGACAGAATGACATGCAAAGCAATTCAAAATAAATGACTACAGACTTTTTTAAACGACCGGAAAGTTTTAGTACACTGAGATCCCCACAAACAGTTCTAACAAGGAAAATGACTAAAAATCGATGGTGCAAAAAGAGGCAGAAGGTCCACAAAAGAAAAACTAAATATGAACAATTATATGAATTTACTGAAGAGATGCAAATAACCACAGATATATGACACACAAAACAAGGGATAAACCCTAAAAAGTCAACTGTCTGGGTTCTACTGTAAACCGTGGGGGGTATTTTACACGTAACCAAGACTTAATATTTGAGTCTTCCAACACAGTTCTATTTATTTAATTAAGTATGTTCTTACTACCCTTTAAATCTGTGCCCTATCCTGACCCTCCTCTGCTGGTTTGAAGCGTTTACAGTTGAGGACTTAACAAGCCCAATGTTTTCTTGTTTCACAAATCCGGTTGTTTCGGATCTCGCTGGGTTTCTCTCCCCCACCGCACCTCGCCGGGGGGCTGAGAGTCAGAGATCATTTTTCGCGGGGTCGACCTCCTCGTCCCCTCTCTCTTCCGGCTTCCTTTACGCTTTGATCTTGTGGAGGACCTCGACGCTTCCTGTCCACATGTGCAGCTGCTGCTCAGTAGTGACACTGTTCCTTTAATTTCCTCCTGGTCTCTGCTTCGGGTTAACCTCGGCGTTGTCACTTCTCAGAGGCACCTCCATATCTGGCTCCCCTCGCCTCACACTCATCTCGTATCAGAGCAGCAACACTCAAACAAACCGCCTGCTTTCTAAACTGTCAAGAGCATTACAGCCACAGTTTCACTTTACCGAGAGAGAGTGCTCTGCGGCGGGGTGATGGAGAGGTTAACAAGACTGAAGTGTCACATGTATGGAAAGAGATTAGTGCCAGAAACGTTTTAAATATGTTGCAATCACAGAGTGATCAATTATAGGGCTCACTGCCAACTTCCTGTTATCCGTATGCAACTTTATTCAACTGTATCTAACTTCAGGTTGATTACTTGCTTATTATTTGAACTGTATACTGCAACCGGAGTAGACTTATGGAACTGTAGACATATTGGTACGGTAAATACTGCAAACATCATATATATTGTACATATGTATTTTGAATACTTGGCTTTATGTTTTTTCTGTACATTATTAAGTATATATTGAATTGTAGGAGCTATATAAATATATAACTCAATTATTCTGTGTTTTATTTATTCCTGTTAATTATATTTATTTTGCTACCTAGATTTTTATTCTTATTTTTCATTCTTACTATGCGTGCTGTTGATGCTCTGACGCCTGCATTTCCCTACGAGGATTAATAATGTTTATCTCATCTTAAGACATGAACATGATATAATTAATGAATGACAATAAGGAACATCTTTTAAACTAATACAGGGTATATTCAGAAATCCTGAAGTCAAATATAAGACCTTTTAAGACCCTTTCTATACATTTTAAGACCTCATCGCCACTTGGAGTTCTAACCGGTTACCTTGGCGACACACTTTACCTCACATTGACTATATATACAGTATGATTTGTCCTTCCTCCCTTAACTTCCACCCATTTGGACGCAGACTT